TGAGCTACAGAGTGAGTTCAGGCCAACCTAGGCTTCAGAGTGAAACCTTATCTCAAAAAAGCTAAAACATAAAAATATAGGAGATATGTTTTCTAGGTAGTTTTAGATTGCAATTTTTTTCCTGTGCCACTCAAATTGTTATTATTACTTAGATGCAATATCATGTAGCCCAAGCTAACCTCAAACTCCCACTGTGACTGAGGACAACTCTGAACTTTTTGATCCTTCTGCTTCCAACTCCTTAGTGCTGGGATTAAAGGCTGTTGTCACCACACCCAGCTGGAAAACAAAATGGCTGTACCCCTTGAAGGGACACTAGCCCACTCCAGCATGTGGCTCCGGCAGGCCTTGCCCCTCTCCCCATCCCCTCTGCTAAAAACTGTTAGATTACACTCCTACAGCTGCCATCAAGGTCTATTCCCTTATTTGGCCACTTCCTCCTGAGGCTGACTCTGACCACCAAGGTCCAGCAATCAGAAGCCCCCTTTGGTTCACCTAATTAACTTGCCCAATTAAAATTAAACAGTGTAGCTGGGCATTGGTGGGGCATGCCTTCGACTCCAGCACTCAGGAGGCAGAGGCAGCAGATCTCTGTGAGTTTGAGACCAGCCTGATCTACAGAGCGAGTTCCAGGACAGCCTCCAAAGCCACAGAGAAACCCTGCCTCAAAAAACAAAAAAATTAAATTAAACAGTGGTAGCACCTGCCCTTAATCCCAGCATTTGGGAGGCAGAGGCAGATGTATCTCTGTAAGTTTGAGACCAGCCTTGTCTATAAGAGCTAGTTCCAGGACAGCCTCCAGAGCTACACAGAGAAACGATGTCTCAAAAAACAAAAACAAAAAAACTTAAAACACCTCATCTAACACAGGGTTTCCCCCTTTATCTTTACAAACTGTCATTTGCCTATGTGCCACCTCTGTCTGCTGTCTATCAAGAGGAGTCCTTTGTTCTTCTGGACAAATTCCTGGCCCCTTTTCTTGTCCCCCTCCCCCTTCTCCTTCATCCTCTATCTCCTTTACAGCGGCATCCTAGCTCATTTAATATATGACTTCCCCTTTTTCTCTTCTTAAAAATTACACCTGCTGCCAGGCGGTGGTGGCACACTCCTTTAATCCTAGCACTTGGAAAGCAAAGGCTGGTGGCTTCAGTGAGTTCGAGCCAGGCTGGTCTACAAAGCAAGTTCCAGGGCAGTATGGACTACACAGAGAAACCCTGATCTGATCTAAGCATGGCTTTATAATTTCCTGAAAGTTAAAAGAACATAATCCACATGGATGAGAGAAATGGCCACCACCAACTTCCAGTGGCACTTGGCATTCTTGCCTGTGTGGCTGTGTGGGATTTTGATGGCCTTGTGCTTCCTTGGTTTTAGAGTTTGAACACTGAGAGATCTTCCTCCATCTGCCTCCTGAATGCTGGGATCAAAGGTGTGTGCTACCACACCCAGTGGAACTTTTAAAATATCAAATCCAGACTAGGAAAAGATGGCCGTAATTTTAAACTTTATTTTTTTCTTTTATTTATTTATTTATTTTGGTATTTCAACAGGGCTTCTCTGTGTAGCTTTGGAGCCTGTCCTGGAACTCGCGCTGTAGACCAGGATCCACCTGCCTCTGCCTCCCAAGTGCTGGTATTAAAGGCCTGGCAATTTTAAACTGTATGGGCATTTTATCTGCATATGTGCCTGTGCCACACTTGAGTCTGCATCTATAGAGGTCAGAAAAGTGCATCATATTCCCTGGAATTGTATTTGCAGACAGCTGTGGGCCACCATGTGGAGGTTGGAAACCAAACTCGGCTAGTGCTCTTAACTGCCAAGCCCTCTCTTCATCCCATAATTTTTTTTTTAACATGTCATAGACAGAAAGTTCCGAGACCACTTTGGTGAGAAGTTATAGCTTACACAGCTACAGTCTGGCAGGCATCATGACCTTCAGCGCAGGGCATCTATCTCCTCTTGAATACTCTTGACCTAGCACACTACCTTAGGGCAGAGCTGCGGTCCACTCAGGTCCACTCATTTCCAATGTAGGGCAGCCATGTGCGGTCTGGAGCAGACACACGGGAAGCAGAGGCTGAGACACAGGCGTCCCTTTCCCAGGCAGGACCTATCCCATTAAGAGAAAGTCACCAGACCTGTCTGGTGGAAAGAAACCGGGTCACCTCTAGAGCTGAAGGGAGCTGCCTGCCCTAGCTCAGAGTCTGTGGCCTGGGAACCTTGAAACCCCATGCATCACCAGGAAATGAGAAAACACAGGGCCTAAAAAGCTCCAGACAGACATTCCCTGAATTAGGGCCTGTAACAAGAGCCAAGGACCACAGGTGTGGCCAAACTTGGACCCTGGAGAACCCAGTAAATCTGGGTTAGCTAGCTTAGTCTTCCCAGAAAGAGTCCTCCTACTGTCAATCCAGCTTTCTTCCTTCCTTTCTTTTGTATTTTATTTTACGTGCCCATGGGAAGTTTCAGGTCCCCTGAAATTGGAGCTACAGACAATTGTTAGCTGATATGTGAGTGCTGGGAGTTGAACTCAAGTTCTCTGGAAGAGCCATCAGTACTCTTAACCATGGAGCCATCTCTCCAGCTAGCTTTCTTAAGTGGCCCAAAGAGCACCCACCCAGGTCAACTTTGGCAGTGAGTGGGCCTGACGCTTATTCAGCTTTGGGGTTAGAAATACAGGATAACTCCCTGATGTCCTGATACTGGCTGGAAGACTTAATTAATCACTAACATTTTGGAGGGTCCCCTCACCTTTCTTTTTCTTGGTTGCTTTCTTTCCTTCAGCACTGGGATTGAGCCCAGGTCCCTGGACTTTCCAAAGGCTGAGCCACACTCCAGCTTCTGGAAGAGATGTTTGTTAAGCATGTACTATCCACTAATGCAGTGCACATCTTTTTTGAGACAGGGTTTCACTATATAGCCCTGCTAGCCTGGAATTCCCTATGTAGCCCAGGCTAGCCTCAGACTCACAGAAATCTGCATGCTCCTGCCTCCCAAATGGGAGTAGATGCTTGTACTACCATGCCCTGCCTAGAGTAGGACTTTTTGTTTTTATTTATGTAGGGGTTTTCTGGTTTTTGTTGTTGTTGTTTTGTTTTTTGTTTAGATAGGTTCCCGCTATGTAGCTTTGGATAGTCTGGAGCTTGTTATATTGACCAGGCTGACCTGGGACTCAGAAAGTTCCACCCTCCCTCAGAGTGCTTGGATTAAAAGCATAGTGCCCTACCTAGGAAGGAACATCTTAAATTCCCACTCCTAAGTTTCCTTTCTTTCTTTCTTTTTTAAGATTTATTTATTATGTATACAGTGTTCTGTATGTATAAATGTTGGCCAGAAGACTGCATCAGATCTCATTACAGATGGTTGTGAGCCACCTTGTATGTGGTGCTGGGGATTGAAGTCAGGACCTCTGGAAGAACAGCTAGCTTTCTTAATCGCTGAGCCATCTCTCCAGCCCCTCCCCACTCCTAAATTTTCAAAGGAGGACCCAAAGTTTAAGATCCTCAAGCGAGGCAGCTTAAGCAGGGTCCCGCTTTTCACTTTGCTTAACTGGAGAGTCTTTAATGACACAGAAGAAAAACTGAGGCGCAAGGAGGTGTCAAGGTTTTTCTGGGGTGCAAAGCCAATCAGGGACATAACCTTAGCCTGCTGGCGACCAGCGCCGGTCTGCCTCTGATGTTCCGAGAGGAGCGTCTTGGCCTCTTTCCAGCCGACTCAGCCGCGGGCCTGGCCCAGACACCTCCAGGTGAGCCGATGACTCAAAGGGCGGAGACTAAATGTTGCTCACGGCCCCGCCCTGTCCCGTTGCTCCCGGGGGTGGGGGACGAGCTCCCGAGTCGGGCGGGTGACAACTTGTCGGAGTGAAACCGGGAAGGCACCGCCCCGCTGCGCTCCACGGAACGCGGGGACGCAGCTTCTTCTTTCCGCGAGCCGTAACCGGGCCGGCGGGGCGGTAGGCGGGAATGCTCGCTCTCCCATTGGCCAATCGGGTTCCGGGGGCGGACTCTGTGGAGACCCGGTCCTGTGATTGGGCCGAAGACTGAAGGCCGCGGCGCGCTGCGGCGAGTTGGTGCGTGTTCCTGCCTGCTGCGCGCGGGCCGTGGGCTGGTCCCGCCGGACTCCCTGCGGCCCGTCCCGCCCAGCTCGCGCCGGCTCCTCGCCAGCCAATTTCCTTTTGTCCCCACCTTGGGGAGCTGGGCCTTGGGGAGCTTTGGGCCTTGGGGAGCTTTCCCTTATTAGATCTGGGTTTTTACTGGAGGCTACGCCCCTGCCTCGGATCGTGCACCCCTCGGCTCAGATCTGAGCACCTGATGTGACGGTTTCCCGCTTTCAGATCTGAGGTGCTCAGTGCCACTCGCGAAGCGCGTCTCTAAGGCCACTGTGCTCAGTCTTCAGTGGCTTGGTGGTTCCCGCCACATCTGAGCACCGCAGCTTTCCCGCCCACAGCACCTACTCACCTCTCCTCTCCTGCCCTGCGTTTGTGCTCGCCTGGCCTGAACCAGAGCGCTGTGGGGGCTTCCCGATGGCCTCTCACCTGAAGTCACTCCACCCAAAGGTTCTTCTGCCTTCCAGGTCACCGAGGCAGCCCCAGCGGAACTTAAGGCCCTAACTCCCAGCCCATGGCCAATAACTGGAGAAGACAGGAGTGTCACAGGGCAACTTTATTGAGAGGAGACATGGTCACACCCAGCAAACATGTGTTCCTTCTCGTTCTCTCTCACACACACAATCACACGGACACACACACAGCCCTTGCCACAGTCCAGTTCTCAGCCACAGGGGTGGGAGCCTCCTGGATTCCTAGGATCTAGAAGGAACAGGTGGGGGGGGGCGGGGCACAGTGGAAGGGCAGGCCCAGGAGCGGTGTAGGGAAGTCGGCGGGGTACAGAGAGCAGGGGTGGGCAGGGTCAGGAACACACCAGACAGCTGCATGAGAGTGGGGTCCCCAGCCCCCTGTGGCCTCAGCCTGGCTGCGCCTTCCAAGGAAGCTTTTCAGGGCGTGGCAGAACACTCAGGATTTGGGAAGGGCCCGGGTCCCACTCCATAGTAGTCCTCTCTGCAGACGGGACTGGAGGGCAAGGCAGGGCAGGGAGGGAGCAGGCTGCTTCAGCTCTGGGGCTCCTCTGGAGCCTCTCCACCCTCTTCTCCAGCATTGTCGGCTGTCCACAGCGTCAGGTTGTCTCTCAGCAGCTGCATAATGAGGGTGCTGTCCTTGTAGGAGTCCTCATTGAGAGTGTGCAGGTCAGCCATGGCCTCGTCGAAGGTGGTCTTGGCCAGAGAGATGGCCTCCTCGGGGCTGTTGGCTATCTCGTAGTGGAAGACAGAAAAGTTCAGGGCCAGGCCCAGGCGTATGGGGTTGGTGGGAGGCATCTCCTTCTTGCTGATGTCCATGGCCTCTTGGTAGGCTGACCGGGCAGAGTCGATGATGCGTTTCTTGTCATCACCCGTGGCCACCTCGGCCAGGTAGCGGTAGTAGTCACCCTTCATCTTCAGGTAGAAGACTCGGCTCTCTGCCTCTCCGGCCTCCTTGATGAGGTGGGAGTCCAGCAGGCCCAGCACGGTGTCACACACACCTCGGAGCTCCGTCTCTACCTTCTCCCGGTACTCTTTGACCTCGGGGCCTTTCTCTTCTGACCCCTCCTCGTTGCTCTTCTGCTCGATGCTGGACAGGACCCTCCAGGCGGCTCTCTGGCCGCCCACCACATTCTTATAGGCCACGGAGAGCAGATTCCGCTCCTCGCAGGAGAGTTCCTCGCCCTTTTCCACCGCACCCTTCATGAAGGCTGCCATGTCCTCATAGCGTTCGGCCTGCTCTGCCAACTTGGCCTTCTGGATCAGACTGGCTCTCTCCATGACTCCGAGGACAGACAGGCGGGCGAACTGGCTGCCTTGAGACCAATGCTGGATTCTGAGCCTGTCTTGCTCTGGGTCTGCCTTTTGGCTGGGGTGGCATGGCCTGGAGAAGGGTTGGGAGTGGCCTGGGGCGGGCCTGGGCCCTGCCTCCTCCTCTTCTCCCCACACCCTTTCCGGCTTTTCCTTAAAGGTAAAAGGGCTGGGGGGGGGGGGGGAGGTGAGTCATGGGGACAGTCAGCAGGAGAAACCTGGCTGGCCGTGGGGACCACCTGAACGGGCATCTTTCAGGCTCTAGACTGCCCCCTGCTGTTCAGACCTGCATTGCAGGAGTGTTCTGGCTTAACCAAATCAGACTGTTTCAGGGTGTCATTCCAGGGGTAAGGATGGCTACAGCCACTGGGCTACTTTAGCCCTGGCAGAGCTCAGTGAGCTGGTATAGGGGGCTGGGATGGTTCAAGTGAGAATTCGTGTGTAGGCAGGGCTATACAGCTTCCCAAACACTTCAGCATCCATGATCTGATAGAATCCCCTTGATGGCTCTATAGGACCATAGGTGGAAACGTCAAGTCTCAAGGGAAGAAACTGCTTAAGGTCACAAGCTGCTGGCTTCAATTTTCTTCTGGCTTTTCTCCCTTTGAGGCCTGTGACCTGGAGCCATTATCCGGAATTGAGAGCCAGACTTCTTCCTGAGCTGGCCCAAAGACAGTTCGTCCCTTGGTCCTTGTTCTCCTTCAAAGTCCCCTCTGAACACCCAGAATGCGCAGGTGGCATCTCAGGGTGCCACTTAATGAAGTGTTTAATGAGTGGCCTCTGATACTCCAGCCCAGCCTTTGTAATTAGTCACCCAGTAGGTTCGTTGGATACCTTCCTCAATACAACACAATTTTCCCTTTCAAGTTGGTAGCCTGTTGACACTTGTCTGAGACCTTACTCTCTGGTCTTCCACATCAGGGCACCGGGCACCTGTCCCTTCCCAGCTGCCTACTGTCATGTGTCAGCAGGGCTCACAGAGGGCGGGAGCCTAGCTCTCTGACTGCCCACTCTTGCCTGACTCAGATTGCCCTGTCGGAGGCTGGGAAGCAGGCCACCGAGGTGCTCAGTCCAGTTTTGTCCCCCAGGGGGGACGCTAGCACCCTGAAGAGGAAGACAGGGCTGAGGAGAAGGAGCCAGTAATGACACATAGCATTTTGTTTTATGGAGTAGCCATTCCAGCTGAGGGAGATCCCCCACTTGGCTCCCAAAGGTTTCCCAGTACCTTCTCACTGAGCAAGGCCCAACCTCCAACCCAAGAGAAGCCTCCTTAGAGATGGAGACTGCTTTGCTCCCAAACATCTGTCCCTGTTTGGTTGGGTCTGGTCTTCAAGCCTTGTCAAGAGTCTGGGTACAGAGGGGAGGTCAGGGTCCTGCTTATCTGCCCCACCCTCAAGCTTAGATGGGATGCCAGGATTCTTTCTAAGGAAACTTCTCCCTAGGACTTAGCCAATCTAATCCTTGAGTTAGCACTATAGCATAAGCCTTGCCTGTGCACCCACTACTGCCCCCCACTCCATGCCTGATCACACACCTTGCCTCTGGGAAGGAGGTGTAGGCCATGTGCTTGTACCACAAGAGCAGGGACTCTTCAGATACTGGCTAATTCCTTGGGGTTTCTCGGGAAGTGAGTGGAATTTCCCTGAGAACTTTGCCTAACTCAGAGCACTGACCCAGGAAAGGACAGAAACTACCCTAAAACATCAAGTCAGGGAGGGACATGGCAGAGCACACCCAGAGTCTCAGCACTCAGGCTGACTGACGACGGAGGAGTTCCAGTTGGGCTACAAAGAGACACACTGCCCCCCACCCCCAAACCCCAGGGGAAAAAAACAGGTTTGTGGGTGAGGTGTAGTAAGGTTGATAGAGTTCCTGCCCAGCATCTATGGAGTCGGATCTCCAGTACTGCGTAGACTGATGCACATCTGTAATTCCATCACTCACGAGGCAGAAGCAGAGGGAGAGGGAGCTCTGCACATTCAAGGCCAGTCTGGTCTACCTACTGAGCAGTGGTACTGGGATTGTCCCCACGGGTCCCAAAAACTCCACCAGCTAAACTACATCCTCAGCTTGGTTCTTTCTTTCTTTTTTCCCAGACAGGGTTTCTCTGTGTAGCTTTGGAGCCTGTCCTGGCACTCACTCTGTAGACCAGGCTGGACTCTAACGCAGAGATCCCTGCCTGCCTCTGCCTCCTAAATGCTGGGATTAAAGGCTCTTGTTTCTATTCTAGCTGGGTTCTATGGAATGAGGGAAGATCACAAACTATCTGTACCTCATGGCCCAGCCAGGTATCCATGACAGAGAAGGGGTCCTCTGTCCAGATTTCCCTCTCCAGACTGACAAATGGGTAGGTGCAATCGTCACTGACTCCTCCCTTCTGGAACATTCCTCTCAGACTTCAAGGGCCTTCCTTGGCAGTAGTCATCTAGCCTGGGCTTCCCTAAGCCCTGGGGGGGCAACTTGGAGATCCCAGGGCACTAGGAACTTGGACAGCAGGGGCTGGCAAAATTGAATGTCCAAAAAGGGAGTGTCCTCATGCCTCTTAAGCCAGGAATCTGATGGGCAACTACAGCCGGTCTAGCCCCTCACAGCGCCTCTCCTCCTCCACTAAAGCCAGGCTGCTTGACACTCCTGCTGGCTGTGGCCTATAGATCCTGACTCAGTTCCTGTCTCAGTTGCCTCCCTTTGCCTCCAGGCTTCTACTTCCCAAGTCTAGGAGCCCAGGCAGGCAGGAGGCTACAGGTCCTGGCAGAGCATGGGACTGCGAAGCGGCTGCCTGAGTCAGCAGAATGGGAGATGGTGTTACCATCCAGGGGGCTCTCCTCATCCTGGTGGCCAGTGCCCACCTTTCTGGAGAGGCTGATTGCAGCAAGAGGGATTCTTATTATAGACTAGAAAGAATCTACCACAACTGGCAAATCCTTTTCTTTTCTAGTAATTTCCTGGATAACTTCTGGCTTTGGAATGACCAAATTCAACAGCTGACCAGAGGGCTTTGTGGTTGGTATAAAGAGTCCAGTTCCTGTAACTGAAAGCTGTCTACTTGATGTGGGAAGGGACAGAGGAGGACACTTAGGTGATTCAGCTGTTTGCCTCTTTTTCTTCTAAGGTATTGCTGTTCAAGGTAGCCGCCCCCCTCCCCCAATCCAGTGTAGGGTATGAGACAGTGTGGAATTTATAGGAACAGAACCGAATGAGGTCAGCACACAGAGCTGCATTCCAGTTGGGTTATAGGAGGCCTTGGGCAGGTCCCTTCCTGCCCCTGGGTTTAGGCTTCCCCATTAGTAACAAGAGGCTGGCAGCCCCCTCTTGGGCATGGCCTTCTCCAAGTTTAGGGCTTCTCCAAGACCCCACCCTTCCCTACTGGGGCAACACCACTCTGCTGGCTAGGTGACATTCCCTGCGGGTCAGTTCTCTTGTCTGTAGGCTGAGATGACCTTTTTCTTTGGTTACAGGGAGAAAACAGCCTACTGCTTAGCAAGCCCTGATAGATGCAGTCTTTTTCCTTTTTCTTTTTCTTTTTCCTTTTTTTTTTTTTTTTTTTTTTTTTTGACAGTATCTCATACGGTCCAGGCTAGCCTCAAGTGTGCTATGTAGTCGAAGATGGCTTAGACCTGATCTTTCTGCCTCCAAGTTCTGGGATTACAGACATGCACCATCACTCCGGAGTACTGCAGGTGTCCCTGTGGGAAAGCATCTCGGGAAGGGAAGAAAGGCGGCAGCTCTCGGGTTGGGCTCAATTGGGGAATGTGAACCTCAGACTGGAGTTTGACACCCACCCCCATTTTGGACTAGGCAGGGTTTTTCAAAGTTCAGAGTTCAGCTAAGCCTTGAAGGTCTCTGGGGAGGAAATGAGTTCTAGAGAGCCGAGAGGTCACTTTCCCCAAGTTCCTCCTTGCCTCGCTGTCTCCAGAGCAGCACTGCCCAGCCAGAGGGAAGCTGAGGGGGACAGACAGCTGCTCTCACACATCCACAACAGGCCCCGCCCACCAGCCCCAAAGGAAAGTGACACACACTCAAGGCTACGGCAAGGGGGGGGGTCTTTATTTGTTACAAAAGATAGTGGACAGCGGGCGAGCGGCCCCCACCCCACCCCGCCCCCTACCCTTGCTGAATGCAGCTGATCCTCCCAGGTCTGGCCCGGTTGGTTCCTTAAAACACGGAGTTGTATAGCCCTTGGCGCCTGGGGCCAAGGATACAGGCTCACACTTCACATCCTCCTGGGGGGATGGGGGCGTGGGAACAGCGCTGAGCCGGTGTGCTCAGAACAGTCGCCAAACTTGTTTGACAGCGTCATCAACACCCCGATAGCTCCTGAAGGAACCTGCTTGGCTTGACTGTGGCTCTGCTGACTTGGGGGGGGGGGAGGCGGTAAGGCAGGATTCCTGAAGAGTCTTGACACTTCATAAATCCGGGGAAGGGGCATGAGGGGAGGAGGGGAGGTTCAGCAGGTCACAGCAGTGTCTGTTGTGCTGAGGCTGCAGTATGGCTTATTATATACTCTGGCCAGCAAGGGGCGGGGGCGGGGCCAAGAGGTCGGCACCTGCCCACTGTGGGCGTCTCTAGAGAGCACACAGTAGGACAGGCTGGGGGACAGACCCTGTAGGCACAGATGGTGGCAGATGGGCCACAGGTTAGGCAGGTGGAGGTGCAGGGTGCCTGGCTCCCCCCAGGCCACTCCTGGAGAGGCAGAGAGTAGCGGTCCGCAGGAGCTCCTTCAGCCCCCGCACATACTGGATGATCCCACAGGGTAGCAAAAAGAAGAGAGAGGGTTAGTGGATGGATGGATGGAAAGGGATAGCCTGCAGGGGCCCCAAGTGGGGTCAAAGGCTACCACAGTACCTGCCTCTCTCCCCGACAAGGGCCAAAGCTCGGGCAGCAGCAGGCAAGAGAGCAGGAGAGAAACAGGGCAGGCCGGAGAGCGTGGCAGGGACACACAGCGGGGTGCAGAGGTATTAGTGACCTGACTGAGGGCCCTGCACACCAGTACACTGAAGGCACAGGCCCCTCGGAGCAGGAGCGCCACCCTCCCCAGCCTCACCCTCCTAAAAGAACTGGTACTAGGCAAGAAGCCTCTGTCTTGAGGAGGGGGTGGGACAGGACTAAGAGCCTTCTGTTTGGGGGGAGCCTTGGGGACCTGCCACCACCAGTGTGCACACACACATACACACACCACCCGACACACCAGACAGATGGATAGATTCATGGTGTTGGTGAGGCATGCGATGGTGATGAGATGGGGGGGTGCTGGCTGACAGGTGAGACATGGTCTTACCAGCTAACCCTCTGCAGAGAGGCCTGTTAGCTCCTCTCAGGCTGTGCAGGAGATGGCAAAGTCCTGACAGGTGTCCTCCTGGAGGAGATACCAGAGAGGTCGGCCCATGATCTGCCTGCTTGTTAGCTACCTAGGAGGTTGGGTTGGGGCAGGGACAAGAAGCCCAGACTGGGATCTACTGTCTCAAACATGTTTTTAGCTGAGCTAAAACTCTGGGGATCAGAATGGAAAGTTAGCAGGAAGGAGCTCAGGAGGTACCAATTCCTGAAGCACTAGAGGGTAGACATGGTGAACCAGACAGGTGGGTTAGCCATAGCCCTCTGCTGCAGAGTTCCTGCTAGCCACCTGGCTGCCTGCCTCAGTTTCCCAGGAAAGACCCAAGTGCGTCTGAAAGAACCCAGAGCTACACTGCAACCCAGGAACTTGGCAAAATAAAAGCCAACAAAAACCAAACCAAAGCAAACCAGCTCTTAAAAACACAAGTTTTATTACAAGCAGGAACAAAGAAAACTGGCTTAAATAAAAGGCAGGTTAGAGATCTCTTCTTCAGCCCCTGCAGGATGGCCTAGCTTCTGAAATTGCTTCTCCAGCCACCACTCCCCAGCTCTGTCTGGTACCCACTGGCCTTAGGAGCAAGGAAGGGAAGCTGGCCTGACTTCCTATGCTATGATCCAAGGGCTTCAGCCCACCTGAAGGGCCAAAGAGGGAGCCTAGAAGAATAAGTCTCTACTTTCATGAGAAACTGCAGCTCCCAGCACAAGGACTTGCTATGAGCTCCTGGCCAACCCACACCATCCTGATCTACTCCACTTCTTTTACTCCTAATTAGTACAAATGCCTTCTCCTAGTCCTTAGCACTGGGGCCCATATTCAGAGCAGAACTCCAAGGAGGGGGTGTGGCTTGCAGAATAGCAGCTGCTCCCCAGACCAATCACCTCACCCACCACACCTAGCCTCAGCCTGTTGGGGCACATCACAGCTGGGAGCCTGCCCTGGGGGCTGGGTGGCAGAGTCCCTAGTCAATGGCTGTCTGAAGGCTGTGGTAGAAGAGGGCAGGAGCCCAGGGGTCTCTAGTGACTAATGTACAGCCTCCTAGTCCCCACGCCTCAGGCTGCTTCTGAACACAGGGTAATGGGGAAAGGAATAGCCCAGGGGATATGGAAGTCAGCTGCATTAGTAGACGGGTGGCCACACCCATACACACACACTCAATCACTCACAGCTAGATCTTCTGTAATGAATGTATTAAACCACCTGGCCTTGGGAAAACCCTTGACTTGGCACTACACATATAGCAATGCATTAACTTCTATTTTAAAAAAGGCTATGTAAAAAAGAGGTCTATAAAATTGTGCAAAATACCCAGCATCAATAAACCCGTTTCAAGTATTGCCAGCATGACCTAACCCCTGACTTCTAGTCCTGACTTGGGAGAGATTCAGGGAGCACAGGAAAGGATCCTTTGGGGAAGGCAGGGTCCCCATTCCTACGACTCTACAGGAGCTGAGGTTCTGGGGGGCCTGGATGGCTGATTTGGCTTCCTCTGACACAGGCTGCCTCCCACCCTCTACCCATGCTCTCTCTCTACTGGTACCCAGCTCTATCCTATTGGCCAACTCCATATAACCCCCCCACCCCAAGCCCCACCAAAATAACCTTGATCATCACAAAGGGATGCAGGAGCCCCAGTCCAAAGCAACCCAAGAAAGGGCGCTGACCTGCCACCTGTGGTCCCTGCTTCCAGAAGCCCCTGGCTGCACAGGGCTCAAGCATGCCTCCAGCTGAGAGGCTGCCCACTCAGTCCACATCCTCACTCACACTGGGTCTCCGTGGGCACAGGCAGTGACTTGGCATGGTCTCCTTGGTGGCCTCCAGGAGCTGTGGCTCTCCTCTCCTGCCACTGATCAGCTCAGGGACCTAGGGCCCAAGCTGTGGGAACTTGGGTTTGGGAAGCAGAGGGCACAGCTATGGGGCAGTTCAGAGAAAGCCACGCAAGATGGGAAATAAATACGAAAAGACTTGAATCTTTGGCAGCTCTGCTTCTCAGGTGGTATGGGGAGGGTCCCGGCAGGCACGGAGGGCAGCAGGTGGCAAGCACTGAGTCACATTCAGGGGTGGCCTCCTACCATGCTGGCATCTGGCTTGGCCCCACAGGCTGGCTCGTCACTTCTGATGGGCGAGGGCAACACAGCATCAGACTGCACGAATCCCCGCCGGTCAATCAGGCTTCCAAAACATAAGGACAGGGCATGAGTTTCTGACAGGGCTCCACGCCAAAGGCCAGGTGGTGTGACAATGTAGACAATGTCTTCTCAGGAAAGAGCCAGCCTGAGAGAAGCTGGGCAAATGGAAGCTGCTTTCCACTCAGGAGTTCAAGACCCTCCCTCTGGGGCTGATGAGACAGTTCAACAGGTGAAGGTGTGTGCCACCAAACCTGATGACTTGAGATCAACCCCAAGGACTCGGGACCTCTGTATGCACTCCACTGTATGTGTGTATACAACATACAAGTAAATGCATGTAAATACATCTAAAATAGGACCTTCATGGTACCTGCCTTTTAGTTTAGTTTTGCTGCTTATTTTATTAACATCACTATTTTTAGACAGGGTCTCACTAAGTAGCTCTGTAGATTGTCCTGGAATTTATGATGTACACAAGGGTGGCCTTGAATTCACAGAAATCTACCTGCCTCTGCTTTCTGATTGCTGGAACTAAAGGCATGTACCATTATGGCCAGTTTCTTATTATTTCTTGAGACAGGGTTTCACTATGTAGCCCTGGTTGGCTTGGAACTCACTATGTAGATGAAGATAGTATTGAATTCAAAGATACACCTGTTTCTGTTAAATGCCCATGGATGGTAGTGGTGTGCTCCTATAATCCTAGCACTTCCTAGCACTTGGGAGGCAGAGGCAGGCTAATCTCTGTGAGTTTGAGGATAACTTGGTCTACAGAGAGATTTCCAGGCCAGCTAGGGCCATACAGAGAAACCATGTTTCAAAAAAAAATGTGGGGGACATGCAGTAGTGCCACCATGCCAGTATCCCAAGTAGCCTTGCTTCCCAAGGATGTAGCTGAGCATGACCTTGAACTTCTGACAGGCCTGCCTCTACCTCCCAAGTTTATTCACTGTTAATTCAAACTGACTCAGCTGTCTGGGTGCCAAGAAGCCAGACTGTGAGTGAGGGAAAAGTAAGAAAGAATAGCTATTTGGAGGCAGTAAGAGGCCTGTGTCCTATGTCCCCAGATAGGGTACATTTGTATAAGGTCTTATCCCCCCAGTCCCCATCACCATTTAACTCTTGTTCTGGAGCTCTGGTGCCCCCTGCTGTCAGGACCGACATGGAGCTTCCCTGCAGGGTTGAGTAAGGTTCGGGGAGAGGGAGGTGACCTCACCCTGGAACAGGAAAAGCATGTCACCCAAGTGTGGTCATGACAGTCACTGTGGTATCTCTGAGAAGTAGAGTGACACAGAAAACCCTATGATCTTTAATAATTTATACTTTTCCCCTTAGGCGGGCCTTGAACAGGAAGTGATCCTCCTTCAAGTGTTAGGATTATGGATATACACAACCATGCCTGGTTGCATTTATTTTTTATTCTACGAATGAGTTCATGTGACTAAAACTAACAGCCTTCTTCAGAATTTCTCTGAGTCATCCAGAAGAGCAGAGGACAGCAAACAGGGAACCCACATATGTACATGCAGGGAGAAAGGCTTACTAAAGTCCAGAACCTCTAGAACTCCCATGAGGGTGCCAGACTCAGGGGCCACCTTCCTGTAACCTCGCTTATATGACCCAGCTTACCTGGGAGGTAGGGGGCCGCAGAGCACGGCACAGCAGTTGGTGATAATACTTTTATGGCTGTAGGGGTTAACAGAGGCCTCACCGCCCCTCTTGCTGGACCAGGACCCTTTGATCTGGAAAGGGAGGAAGCCTGGGTAAGCTATCTTCTTCTATCCTGCCTCCTTCTAGTAGTGTTGGGGGTTACTGATGCAAATCATCAACCCATCGTTGAGCTCCATCTTCACCCCCATCTGCACTGAGGCAAGCACCCTCCTGTGGAACCACCCTCATCGCCCGCCTCCTTTCACCTCACTTTCTAGAAATGGAACCTAGAGACCAGAGAGTCCGGTTCAGAAACCAGCTCTGGGTGGACTACTGGAGGGAACATGTCTTCACGGAGGCCTTTCAATGGAGATGTGGGGACCCCTGGAAAAGGCAGCTCCAGCAGAGCCTGGAGGCTCCATGAAGCACAGAAGACAGAATCAAAAGGAGCCTCCACAGCAGGGTGCTTGGGTAACCTGTGCTGGATGGTTTTACATCAGCCTGATGCAAGCTAGAGTTGTCTGAAAGGAGACCTCAATTAAAAACACTTCCATAAGATCCCACTATAGGCATCATTTTCTTAATTAGTGATTGATGGAGGAGGGCCCAGCCGATTGTGGTTGGGACATCCCTGGGCTGGTGGTCCTAGGTTCTATAAGAAAGCAGTTTGAGCAAGCCAGTAAGCAGCATTCCTCCTTGGCTTCTGCATCAGCTTCTGCCCCCAGATCCCTGCCCTGCTTAAGTTCCTGTCCTGACTTCCTCTGATGATGAACAGTGATGTGGAAGTGTAAGCCAAATAAATCCTTTCCTCCCCATCCTGCTTTTGATTGTGGTGATTTGTCACAGCAATAGTAACCCTGACTAGGACAGGGAGGGAGGGCAGGACTGACGGCACAAAGCAGGCTGAAGCACTCTGACCTTAGACAGATCATTTCTGGATGAACAGTCTGCCTCTGGGAAGCCCTCTGCTAAAGGCATCAAGGAGCTTAGCAGGAAAGACCCACTGACTGTCACCCAGAAGTCTCCATACTTGCTGGGCCAAGCATCCCTTTCTGCGTAAGCTCCAGGGAGACCCTGCAGATCCAGCGGTCAGGAACCCACTGGTGATGGGGGTGGGTTGGGGCTGATGTCATTTCTACCCTTATCACGTGTTCTTTTGGATGGTGGGTCTCTGATCAGTGTTATGCAGCAACCCTGCGAGCATCACTACTGCTTCCTTTTTATGGGGTGAAGGAAAGTAAGGGGAGGTCATGTCTGGACTGGGGACAGTGGGTACTCAGATAATGATGTCTTAGGAAAGGGTAGGTAGGATGGCCCAATAGAGCCACACTGTTCTATTCTAACAATGCCTCTCAGCGCATATACTTCTGGAACCCCATAGGTGTGGTGTGGTAGATACAAAGGCATGGTCATGACTCCTGGGCATCAATCCTAGACTGGCCCCTTCACAGCATTATGACCCTAAGCCACATTTCTTAGTCATGTCACACATGGGCAATATGTACCCCAGTTCTGTCACAAGCAGGATGCAATGCTCCAAGAGCATAGCGAATGCAAAGATCCCTATGAGCGTTGGCACACAAGTCTGGTGTGCTTACTGCCTCTGTGGAGTTCTGAGAAGGGAAGTGTAGGTGCTACATCAAGAATCCGGGGCATGTAGGAACCCCGGGTCTGGCGTTAGGCTTCTGCCTTAGGATTTCTCAGGAGGCCTGCACTCAGCCACCCCAGGCTCCCCAGCCCTGCCCAGTTTTACTCACGTCTTCGTTAGTTGTCAGGTTGGAGGCGACGAGGTAAGTGTGGAACCCTGAGAGGCCCAGGATGGACCAGATTGAGAAGAAGCAGATGACCAACTCCAGCACAGTGGGACTGTCAAGGACACGTGTGCAGGGGAGGGTGGGACTCTGGAGCCCTGTGTTCATCCGTTCTCACTCACCCTTCCCTGGAGCTATATCCCTGAAGTTACAGGGTTTCTACTCTTTCTGTGGTCCAGTCCTTATTTCACCTTCTGTACCCCCAAACAGGTGAGAGTCCTGAGGAGCAAGTTGAGATCTGGGCTAGGGATGGCACGGGGAAATTCCTTTTAAGTCAGGGTTTCTCTGTATAACAGTTTAGGCTCTCCTGGAACTCGCTTTGTAGACCAGGCTAGCTTCCAAGTCACAGAGATCCACCTGCCTCTGCCTCCTAAGTGCTGGGATTAAAGGCAGGCACCCCCACTGCCTGCTAGGCAGGGGGAATTCTAACCACAGAGTCTTGGACACAACATGGTCCAGGGAAATTGGCATCCTAAGGGACATGCAGGCTGGTGACATAGACTCAAGTCCGATGACCTGAGTTTGAATTTCAAGTTGTCCCCCATCTCTATTTGTGTGTGCATGCCCAGGCAAGAGAAAACAAACAAGAATTTAATTAAGAAATATACTCTTAAGCCTGGCACATGCCTTTAATCCCAGTACTCAGAAGGCAGAGACAGGCAGATCTCTTGAGTTCGAGACCACCCTGGTCTACATTGTGAGTTCTAGTACAGCCAGGACTACAAACAGAAAAACCCTGTTCTGGAAAAATAAAAAAGAAATATACTCTTGGGTTTGGAGAGACAGCTCAGCAGTTAAAGAGTGCTGACTGCTCTTCTAGAGAACAGGGGTTCAATTCCCAGTACCCACATAGCAGCTAACAACTGTCTGTAACTCCTGACACCCTCACACAGACATTCATACAGGTAAAAACAACAATGCACATTTTAAAAAGGGGGGTGAGCTGGAGAGATGGTTCAGGTTAGGAACACTGGCTACTCTTCCAGAGAGGGTTTTTATTGCTAATATAAATTGGTTGTAGGGCTGGAGAATGGCTCACCAGTTAAGACCACTGGCTTCTGCTCTTCTAGAGGTCCTGAGTTCAATTCCCAGCACCCACATGGTGGCTCTCAACCATCTGTAATGAGATCTGGTGCCCTCTTCTGGTGTGCAGGCATACATGCAGGAGGAAAGACATACACAATAAATAAATAAATCTAAAAAAAGAAAAAAGGAAGGAGAGAAGGAAGGAGAGAAGGAAGGAAGGAAGAGAAATATACTCTGCCAGGCTTTTGTAGACAGGGTCAGTTTCCTGAGGTTTCTTGCTCCCCCTTCCACTAATGACAATCCATTTAGGGTCAGTTCTAGCCTGGGTATTGACAAAAGAGCTGGTGAAGTGGATTCCAGAGACCAGGCATGGCCCTATCATCCCACTCTGGAGCCCCATGCCATGAAGAGGCCTCAGCGCCCACCCACGGGGATAACTGGCAAAAGATATCTTGCTGGTTTCTCTTTCAGAGTGGAGAGGAAGTTGCTTTCTTGAGAGCCTAGGAAGAAAGAAACAAAGACACAGCTCAGGCTGGCGTGGCCACAGCCCCTTGCTGGGCTAAGGTCACTAGTCAGCCCTCCTCCACCCTTTGCTGTCCCCCACTCACGCAGAGTCAGGTGGGTGACCACGCAGGCAAAGATGAAGGCCGTCAGGAAGGAGAGGGAGAGGATAAACGCATAAAAGAAGCGGTAGTTCCGTCTCCCGACACAGTTGCCCACCCAGGGGCAGTGATGGTCAAACCGCTCTAGAAAAGGAAGGGGTTGGTGTGGGTCTCAAACCAGCACTGGTGGCTCGCCCTCCCCCAGGCTGGCACTATCCCATCTCTTCACCCCTCAACACCAGCTGACTCTCGTCCCTCCCTTGGACACACCCAACTCGTAGGCCTTGATCATCAGTTCCCACCCATGGCCTGACACATTCCCTGTCTATTCTTTTAGCTCCATAGTAACTCCTTCAGATGTCAACTACAAAGCCACTCCCTTAAAGAGTCTCCTTTGGCCTCAAACTAGGTAGGAGTCCCTGTCACCTGCTGTTACCCCTGTTTTATATAACTTTACCCTTGAGTATCGGCATCCATACAAGACATGGATGGCCTCGGACTCTTGAAATCTCCAGGGTCTAATAGAGTGCCTGGTTCAAAGATTCATAGACATATTACTAGCTATATGCCAACAGCTCTGGCCTAAGGCCCAGAGAGGGCTGGGCCGCTAGGTAACTCACACAGACCTGGCACCAGAGGCCAGGGCAAGGGACTGAGCTCATACCAGCACTATGTCCCTGGGGGTGGGAGTCACACCCAGACTGGTGAGGAAAGTCCGTGTGGGAATCTGGGTCATAAGCCCGTTGCAGGCCTTATGCCAAGGCTGGTGCCCTCTAAGGAGGTGGGTGGGGCAGACTGGCAGGGATGAATAACACCCACTGAGTCACCCACTTCACTGCCCGATGTCCCAGCTCTCCTCTTCGGGGAGTTGCTGAGCTGGCAGGGTGAAGTCACTGCCTTGGGAACTGTGCTCTGTGCAGTCTCCACGGCTCAGCTCACTTGGGTGTCATGTCGACACTCCCTTATGACACCCTCCCGAGGGACCATCATGGGTCTTCATCAAAGCTGCACAGCTTCTGAGGGGCAGGGTGGGGAACAAACCGCAGAGGAGGTGGTCAAGAGCTGCCTTCCTCTCCTGGCCCAGGCTCTCCACCTCCTCCTCCAGATTCTCACCCTGCCTTCTTTCTCAGTTAGCTCTGTCTTCCACGTCACTGCCCCCAGGCTTCTGGGATCATGGACCTACTGAGGGGCAGACTAAAGCTGGGAGACATGGTCATGGTGTCTGTCTGCTGAACTACTTGACAACTAGGGGGACAGAATATACCGACCCTGGGCCAAGAGATGTCACAGCCAATCTGGGCCAACCAGACTTCTGGCTCAGCCCTAAGTATTTCAGATGCTGCCTGTCTTGCCTCACGTGACTTCCTGCGTCCAAGATGTCCCTCAGGGGTCCTTGAGGCCTCCCACTCACCTACGCAGTTGTCGCAGACACTGCAGTGTGAGGTCCTGGGTGGCCGAAACATCTTACAGGTGAAGCAGTACTTCAGCTTCACCATCTGTCCATTGATCATCACCTCGCGGGTCCGAGGAGGCGGGCGGTATGTGGAGCTGCCTGTGTTGTCTGAGGGTGAGAAGAGAGAAAATGAGGAGGCCCAAATTGGCCCATGGTCCTTGCCACCGGGAAGCCACGGCTGCCAGGCAGGGACAGAAGGCACCTCAGAGAGAATGTACCCAGGAACAGGAGTGGGGGATGGCACACTAATCAGGGACAAACATTATGAACTGCTTACAGACCCAGCTCTCATTCAGGCCTGGGACTGTGCTCAAATCTCACACAGCTGCTCACATACCTGCTGGCCTTCATCCTGAGAAAGGTCGTCAGGGACAGGGCTCCTAGGAAGGTTTCGAGAGGTCATGTGCATCTAATTAAGTCTAGATCCCACTTCTAATACATGAGAACTTCACAGTTAAAGGGACAAGATAAATGCCCCACGGAAGCAACTGGATCTAGAACTCGGACATCTACAATCCACTGACGTTGCACCAAAGCCAACGCTACTTACAGAGAAGAGCTGGGGAGACAGCTCAGTGGTTGAGAGCCTCCTGCTCTTCCCAAGGACCTGAGTTCTGTCCCCAGCATCCACGTCAAGTGGCTCATAACCACCTGATATTCTGGCTTTCTTCTGGCACCCACATGCACAATCCCTCCCCTTATACATAATTAAAATTAATATCTTAATAAATAAATATATAATAAAACCCAGAATGTCAGAGGTAGGATGATAGCTTATGCCTGTAGTCCCAGACCCCATGAAACTGGAAAACTGTGAGTTCAAGGCCAGCCTAGACTACAATGTTTCTTCCTTCCCTTCTCCTCCTCTTTCTTTCTTTCTTTCTTTTTTTTTTTAAGAAAAAGATGTTTATTGTCCACCCTGCAAGACAGAAGTGGGTTACAGAAGAACTGCCTGTTGCATCAACCTTTTTGTTTGTTTATTTTTTAATGGAAGGAATAACAGGTTTACCCCAAGTCTGCAAATTCTATATGTTCTGCTGGGTATGTGTTTCCAAACTGAACTCCCATGATCTTGGTGTTCATATCAAAACAATGTGTGGCTGGCTAGCCAGGTGCAGCCCTCTGATCCCAGCACTCGGGAGGCAAAGGCAAGTGGATCTCTGTCAGTTTGTGGACAGCCAGAGCTGTGTAAAGAGACCCTGTCTGACCAGGTGGTGGTGGCTCACGCCTTTAACCCTAGCACCTGGGAGGCAGAGGCAGCCTGGTCTACAGAACAAGTTTCAGGACAGCCAGGACTACACACAGAAGCCTCAAAGAACCAAAAACAAAGAAAATAAGGTCTCACCATGTTATCCCTGCCTCCTGGAACTCACTACATAGGCCAGGTTGCCCTTGAACTCACAGAGATCTTCTTGCATCTCAAGTGCTGGACCCATCAGCCCAGTTACTTATTGTTTGGATACAGATACTGAGCTCATGAGCATTCAGCTTGGGAACAATCATCAACGAGGCTCCTAGACTCTGGGTCTGCGGGATAGTCTCCAGTTTGGTTGCTTTCCTCCAGTGACTAGTGTCTGAGTGCTTACCAACGCACTAGACATTAGCCCAGGTGCCCCACATGCCTGGTGACGCACATGGACTGTGATTTCAGTTCCAACCACCACTGAGACTCTTACCATAACCCTGACCACACAGGCTTAAAATGCAATTAAGCACCTGAAGACTTCCTCTCTAGAACAGGAAGCAGGAAAGGGCAGGGGTTGGGGCCTGGAGGTTGAGTCAATTGAACTCTGTGCTTTAGCTTTCTAATTTATAAAATAGGACTAACAAGTAGAATGGTGAATACATTTTGGTTCTCTGGGAGACAGGACCTCATGTAGCCAGGCTGGCCTTAAACTCACTGTGTAGCTGAAGATGACCCTGACCCTCTCACCTTTCATATGCTGGAATAGACATGTAACCACCATACCTGGTTCTATGTGGAGCTGGGAACTGAACCCAGCTTTATGCATGTTGGGCATGCATGCTACCAACTTAGTCATATACCCTGTTGCTTGTTTTTTCGAGGTAGGGTATTACTTCAGAGTTTAATCTGGTCTTGAACTCAGGCAGGCACATCTCCATTACCTGATCACATGCTCTAACATTATTCTCAGCAATACAACTTTACAGCTAAGACTTACTCAGCACATTAAATGGCAACACAGTACACAGCAAAATCAGGATTGGAACCCAGGTTTCAAAATTCAGGTTTGAGATCCTTCAATACACTTTACAGCGTCATAGTGGGATTGCAGCTCAAAGGTAGAATTTTGCCCAGCATGCCAGATTCCCTGGGTTTAGTCCCCAGTATGACCCCCAAATAAATAAATAGTAGAAATGACCCAGGTTCAAGCTGGGCAACTGCAGTCCCTATGCTCGGGAGGTGGATTCAAGAGAATCCCGAGTTCCAAGCTACCCTCAGATGCTTGGCAAGTCTGAGGTCAACATGGCCTAGATAAAACTCTGTCTTAAAAATAAACAAGGGGAGCCGAGTGAGTGGTAGCTGCACACACCTTTACTCTGCCAAAAAAAAAAAAAAAAAAAAAAAATACATAAACAAAAAAACAAACAAATGGCTGGAGAGGTGGTTCAGTGGTTAAAAGCACTCACTGCTCTTATAGAATACAAGGGTTCCGTTCCCAACACTAATATGATGGCTGTAACTATTCCTAAATCCATGTCCAAGAGATCTAACACCTACTTCTGGCCTTTGAGGGCATATACAGGGTGTGTACAGAAATACACTTGGGCAAAACACCTATATACAGTAAAAATCTAAAAATAAATAGGACTGGGTAAAAGTGCCTATTGCCAAGCCTGGTGAGCTGAGTTTGATACCTGGGGCCTACATGGTATGCAGGAAGAATGGGACTCCTGCAAGTCAATCCTCTGACCTTTACTAGGGTGCTAAACCCTGTCTCAAAGAGAAAAGACAAATAAACCAAAATGTGAATTCACTTCACTTCACGTGGGCGGGTGTTCTGCCTGCATGTGTGCCTGTGCACCACCGTGTGCCTGATGTTCATGGAGGCCAGAGGACAGCATCAGATCCCCCGAGACAGGAGTCACACAGCTGTGAGCCATGTGGGGGCTGGGAATTGAACCTGGGTCCTCTAGAAGAGCAGCCAGTGCTCTTAACCACTGAACCATCCCTCCAGGAAAGTTGTTCTCCTTTCTTAGGCATCTTGTTCGACAAGTAACTACTACAGCCTCCCTGCAGACAACTTCCTTCCCCTCATCCTTGCCTGGCCAGTCATCGGGTCTGTGTGTGTCCTCTCCAGTCCTTTGCTCTCTACTGGAATTCTACTGGAATTGCCCCAATGTAGGCCATGTCTTTATCATCAAAAAGCTGCTCCAGAAAACTCCCTTTTCCAGTCCCTCTACACTTGGCTGCATCCATCCTAATGACTCTTCAAGGCATCTCCTAGCTCTAAACCATTTCTCAGAGTTCCTCAAGACAAGAAGAGGCCTAGAGAGTGCTCAGCAGTTAGGAGTACTTATTGCTCTCACAGAGGACCCACATTAAGTTCCCAGCACCCACACGGAACAGCTCACAACTGCCTGCATTGGGCATCCTTTTTCTGGCCTCTGAACACATATGGTGCACACAAACTCAAACAGGCAGAGAGACATACGCATATGTCAAACAAATCTTTTTATACACACATACACACAGATAAAATTTTTATTTCATATGCATTGGTATTTTGTTTGCATGTATGTCTGTGTGAGGGTGTCAGATCTCAGGGTTACAAACAGGTATAAGCTCCCATGTATGCTGGGAATTGAACCTGGGTTCTCTGGAAGAACAGCCAGTGCTTTTAACCACTGAGCCATTTCTCCAGTTCCCAAATAAATAAATATTAAAAGCAAATAAACAAAAGACTGGCCAGGCATTTTGTAATCCCACACTTAGCCAGTAGATTTAGGAAATCCAGGAATTCAAGTTTACCCTAGGCTACCTAGTAAGATTGACGAAAGCTGGACTGTGTGAGACCCTGTCTCAATATCTTCAACCATTAAAAAAAATAAACCCAGGAGCTGCAAGGGTGTCTCAGTGCTTAAGACCATGTGTTGCTAGGAGAGAAGACCTGGGTTTGGGTCCTGACTGTAAATTCAGTCCTAATGCTCTTGCTGGGTGGGGATGATACACACCTTTAATCTCAGCACTCTGGAAACAGAGGCAGGAGGATCTCTGTGAGTTGAGGCCAGTCTGGCCTACGGAGTTCCAGGGCAGCCAAGGCTGTTACACAGAGATATCCGCCTGCCTCTGCCTCCAGAGTGCTGGGAATAAAGGCATGTGCTACCACCAGCCAGAGACAAACCTTATTCTTTTGACAGAGACCCTGTCTGTGTTCAAACTTGCTATGTCTCAGGATGACCTTGAACTTCTGAGCTGCCTGCCTCTCCCCCCCCTTTGTCACTCTGTCACATTCAGTTTTCTGGGTTTGTTGTTTGTTTGTTTGTTTGTTTATGCTGGGATCAAACCCAGAGCCTGTGATGCTAGACAAGCACTCTACCAACTGAGCTGCACCCCCAGACCATCCTCTCTTTCTCTTTTAAGATTTAATTATTTAGCCAGGCATTGGTGGCCACGCCTTTAGTCCCAGCACTCCGGAGGCAGAAGCAGGAGGATCTCTGTGAGTTCGAGGCCAGCCTGATCTACAGAGCTAGTTCTAGAACAGCCTCCAAAGCCACAGAGAAACCCTGTCTCTAAAAAAAAAAAAAAAAAAAAAAAAAAAAAAAAAAATATTTATTATGTACACAGTGTTCTGCCTGCATGTATACTTGCACACCAGAAGAGGGCACCAGATCTCATTCTAGATGGTTGAGAGCCACCATGTGGTTGCTAGGAATTGAACTCAGGACCTCTGGAAGATCAGCCAGTGCTCTTAACCTCTGAGCTGTCTCCCCAGCACCTTTCTTTCCTTTTCCCTCCCTTCCTCCCTTTCTTTTTTTTCCTGAGACACTTTCCTATCCCTAACTTGCCCCAAGCTCATCTCCAATTATGCTTTGCAGCCACTTCAGGCTTTGCAGACTCCTGCTTCTCACTACGTTCAGCACACCTGCCACTGCCTGATGCTGTGGTAGGACCATGCGTATGCCTCCTCCCTCTAGCTAGACTCTAACAAGGGAATACAAGGGCAGTCCTGGGGCTAAAAACTAGGAGACAGCAAGCAGCGGAAGAAGACAAGCTTTAAGGCTGGGGCAGGCTGGGGGTTCAAGCTCCGACCTTTCCCTGCTGCCAAGCCTATAGAAAACGATGAACACCACAGTGCCCAAGGCTAAGGGTAAAACCACCAGAACTAGCACCTGTTAAGAACCTAGTTAGCTACTGACAGGAATGCCAAGAGGCGCAGGCTAAGAAGGCTGAGAACACTGGGTCTGACTCTTTCCAGCCTGGAAGTCTACTTGTACTGAGGAAGTCCCTTCACTCCTGAGCCTCCGTTTCTTCCTCAGCAAACAGAGGTCAGGTGCCCCTCCTCTCTTCGGTGGTGAGGATGGAGGAAGGGCAAGGCAGCCTGAGGCAGCGCTGGTGTCCCAGGAGTCACTGACCTTGGTCCTGACTAACAGGCCATAACAGGCCTGCAGGCAAAGGGCCCAGCTCTTTCCAAGCTACTGACATCGCTCTATACCAGACCCCAAATCCCACCCACTGCTGTCTGTCTCCTACGGGAGCTTTCAAGCTGGTGAGACATGGACATACATCTATGCCCAAACATTTATTGAGTTAGGCAGATCAAGTCTTTCAGCTCCTCTGCTCAAAATAAAATGGAACAGAACAATTGACTCCACCCCCCCCAGGGTTACTGGGAGAACTAGCTAAGAATTTAATAAGTGGATTTTTGTTGTTGTTTTGTTTTGTTTTTTTTTGTTTGTTTGTTTTTAGAGACAGGGTTTCTCTGTGGCTTTGGAGGCTGTTCTGGAACTAGCTCTTGTAGATCAGGGTAGACCAGGCTGGTCTTGAACTGGTCTATCTGCCTCTGCCTTCCGACTGCTGGGATTAAAGTCATAGGCCACCACTGCCTGGCTACTAAGTGTGTTTAACACAATGTCTAGCATTTAGCAAGATCCTAGGGGAGGCTGTACATCCCTTATCTGAAATACTGGGACCAGACATGTTTTAGATTTGGCATTCTACAGATTTTGGAATCTCTACATACACATAATAACATGTCTAGAGAGTGGAACCCAAGCCACACATTAAATTCTCTTACAGGTTTTATACAGGTCTTTTACACATAGCTAGAAGGTCATTTATTATTATTATTATTGTTGTTTTGGCACAGGGACTCACTGTATAGCCCTGGTTGGTCTGGATCTAACTTTGGAGGTGGGCTTTGAACTCACAGACCTGCTTGCCTCTGCTGGGATTAAAAGTGTGAGCCACCTCACCTGGCTACAGATAATTTACTAATTATTTTTAATGCACCTGTGTTCTGACTACAATTTACCGGGTGAGGGCAGGTGTGGAAATTTCTGGTTGTGGTCTCAAATTTTGAATCACTTAGGATTTTCAGATGAGGGATGCCTTGTAAATGTAAGCTAACATTATTGCTGCTATAGGAACACTACAGAACAGATACACACGGAGTTATAAAGAAACCTCTGGAATACACCCGGGAGTGAAAGGCAGACACAGACCCTCTTCAGTATTGAGAGGACTCACTAGGAATCTCACCGATCCCAGAGATCCTCCTCAGGACACAGGGTTATCTCGGTGTCTCCTACGAGGCAGGGAGGGAGCTCCTGGAAGCCTGTTCTAGTCTCTGGTTGTGAGGTCTCCTGCCCTCCAGAGCTGTGACAGAGGAAGTGAAGATGCCAAGGGCCAGAGAGGCGGAGCACAGATGCTCACTAGTAGGTCACAGTTTGGTCAAAGGAGGATTGCAGGGGCACTAATGAGCCAGTCTTCCTACCACCTGCTCTGCCCAGCAGCTGCCATCGACAGCTTGTCACCTCCAGAGCAAGTCCACCGCCACTCCAACCAAAAGCTCAGTCTTTTGTTGTTGTTGTTGTTTTGTTTTGTTTTTCGAGACGGGGTATCCTGAGACTGTCTCCTTGAATCACAGAGAATGCAGGACATAAGCCCACATTCTGCAGATGGGAAACCAAATTAACCCATATTAGAGGGCGGGGCTGAGATTAAAATCTATGTTTCCCAAGGCATACATTTGTTCATTCTTTCGAATACAAGCTTTCACTACATGCAAGATACTGCACAAGGCCTGGGTGTGGTAGGTAAGGGGCCCACACATACAGATGAGCCAGAAATGTCTGCTCATTCTATGTCTGCTTGGCACACCACAGCAATATATATTTTAAAATGTTTGGGAGCTGAAGAGGTGACTCAGTGGTTCCTGAGTTCCATTCACTGCACCCATGGTGTCTCATAACTGGCTGTAACTCCTAACCCAGTGCCCTCTTCTGACCTCTGTGGGCGCTAGACATATGGTGTAGGCAAAACATCCCTATACAAGGTTGTGAGACAAGGCCTTGCTATGTACAAGGTTGGCTACAGATCCTCTGGCCACCACATGAGTGGTTAAAAATACTTCAGTAAAGGAAGGATGGAGTGGTTGAAAAAATGCTTCTTGAGCTGGGTGTTGGTGGCACACACCTTTAGTCCCAGCACTTCAGGGGGAAGAGGCAGGGGGATCTCTGTGAGTTTGAGGCCAGCCTGATCTACAGAGTGAGTTCCAGGACAGCCAGGGATACACAGAGAAACTCTGGAGAGAGAGGAGGGAGAGAAGAGAGGAGAGGGTGTAGAAAGAGAGAGACAGAGATAGAGGGAGAGATGGAGAGAGAGGGAGATGCTTCAGTGACTCTAGGATGTATTTCAGAGCTTTCTTCTATGACTAACTTTTCCCCAAGAAAGAAAACAGGTGCCTACACTCTGGTGGCCACCCTGACCGTGTGCCTTCCAGACAGGAAACTCTTGAGGAAGTCATTTCAAGAAGTGACTCTCCCCATTTGTGCTTTGGCTGTGAGAAGCAAATGGCCTTTCCCATACCTTTCTCCTGCTGAGGTACCGCCAGGACCATCACACCTTCAATATAGGGGATGGGCTATCAATGGGAGCCAGAACTGGTATGGAACTAGACCCCATCTAGAGCCCTGGGCTTCACATACTAGGCAGATAGTCTACTGGTCTCAGCTCCAGAGAAGGAAGGTTCTGCCTGCCTGCCACCCAACTGTCACCATAGTAGCTAGCACCTGATCCCAGCATAGCTTAAGATTAACCATAAGCCAACCTTTGAATTCTGGCCACTGTCATCTCCACATGGCTGCTTTTGTTCATCCCAGAGGTTGACAGAGCCCTGCAACCTATGAGGCTTAACGTAAGGTCTGGGAACACAGGAAGATCACAGAGGGTGTAACTGTGTGGCCACGGAGAAAGCAATGTGAGTCAATGCCACTGCCACTACCATGTGGTCACGTGGGACATGTTTGATTTCATTTTGAAATATGGCATGGCTGCCTGTCAGTCTTCTAGATCATCAGTTTCCTCAGTTCTAAAATGGGCAACATGAATCTTATAAGACTGCATTCAAACGAGAGATGATTTTTTTTTATTAAAGCCTAACCCATAGCTACTCAATTACTGATATTGGTGTCTATACTCTTAATACAGAAGCAGGGCTGGAGAGATGGCTCAGAGGTTAAGAGCAATGGCTGCCCTTTCAGAGGATCAGGGTTTGATTCCCAGCACCCACATGGCAGCTTACAACCAAGTGTTCCACTTCCAGGGGATCTGACACCCTCAAACCAATGTACATAAAATAAAATAATTTTAAAAAAATACAAAACCTAGCCAGGCTGGAGATGACACACGCCTTTAGTCCCATTACTCAGGAGGCAGAGGCAGGTGGATTTCTGTGAGTTTGAGCCCAGCCTGGTCTACATAGTGAGTTTTGGAACAGGCAGAGCTATGTAGTGAAACTGTACTTCAAAACAAAACAACCCCCCCTCCCAAAAATAACAGAATTCTTTGGGGGGGGTCATGAGAATAATTATTAGGTGTTCACCACTATGTAACATATGCCTCCCACAAACCTTGCTACAACCACACTGGCATATTATCCATCTATCGGGAGGGGGGAAATGTGGTGCATGGCTTTAATACTAGCATTTGAGAGGCATGGGCAGGCAGATGTCTGTGAGCTAGAGACCAGCCTGCTCTACATAGTAAGTTCCAGGACAGCTTAAAACACATGGTTGAGATTCTGTCTCAAGAAACCAAAACAAAATAGATACAAACAAATAAAATACCCTAAACAGCATCACCGGGAACACAGAAGAGAGCCAGGTAAGACATCACATACCTGTGCTCCTAGCAACTGGGAGGTGAAGGCAGACTGCTAGGATTCAATCAAGGCCAGCCTGACTACACTATGAGGCTGTGTCTCAAAACCTAACACCTGGCTGGGGATAGAAGGTCTGCTGGGAAAATCCTTGCCTAACATTACAAAGCCCTGCTCGATCCCCATGGCCATGTGAACTGGGTGCAGTGGTTCACATGCTAACCCTTACCTCGGGGGTGGGGGTGGGGGATGCCTCAGACAAAATAAAACAAACAAACAGAAAATCAATGTAAAATAAAAATACACCAGGTACAATCAGATACCAGCTCAGCAGGAATGGGTGGGCAGCACCCCGCACCAGGAATAGGGCAAGCAAAGCCCACATCCCTGGTATCTGGGGAGTGGGAGGAAGAGGGGAGGGCTGCTGCAGCTGGCCTCCTTGTGGCTCCGCCCCCATAGGGAGTTTCCTGCACTGGGCTTGTGAATCATGGTCTGAGAAAGTTAGTCCCCTTTTTAGTCTCTCCATCCTTTCACTCCAGAAAGGGGGAAGTCTCCACCTGTAATGAGAACCTCACACACCTCCTTGTACTTGCTTCAACAGCCATTATAATGGCCAGCAGCCCTGCAACCTGCCTTTCTCTTACACAACAACAGTCTATGCAGAGCAAATAAGCAAATGTGGCTTTGTCCTCATGAGGCCCGACATAAATTTCTCTTTTAAAGTATATAGTCACATGTCACATAGGAGCAGTGTGCCAATAGGTGATTTCCCCATGCAAATGTCATAAAGTACACGAAAACTAAGAAGGCTCTGGTTCCATCAGGTGGCATGCTGGGGACCACAGTTATATGTGGGCTTTGTTGGTGACTAAAGCATTGTTACACAGCATAAGGCTGTATTTCAAAGTGCTTGTTTATTCTGGGGGAAGGGCTACACAGGGTCTCACTATGGTGGTCTGAAATTTGGTTGGAGATGGCTTAGCCGTTAAAAGCTAGGCTCACAACCAAAAAAATATAAAAAAGTGAGCCATTTGTGGGGCGGTAGTGGCGCATGCCTTTAACTCCAGCAGAGTTAAGGGCCAGTCTTAACTGGCAGGGCCAGTCTCTGCCAGTTAAAGGCCAGCCTGATCTACATAGTGAGTTCCAGGAGCGCCAAGACTATACAGTGAAATCCTGTCTCCAAAACAAACAAACAAGCAAGCAAGCAAACAAAAGAAGTGAGACATTTGAAGGAAAACTCTGAAGAAATGATGGGAGGAGCTAGAGAGATGGCTCAGTGGTTAAGATCATTTGTTGGTCTTGCAAAGGACTCGGGTTCGGTTCCCAGAACCCACATGGTAGCTCACAACTACCCAAACTAACTCCAGAAGATCTGCTCTCTACTGATACCAGGCATGCACATGGATGGCACACATATGTACACTCAGAACTTTGGCAAAGAAAGATGCTAGTTAGGTGGGCTAGGAGCCTGTAATCCTAGCACCCAGGAAAGACAGAGGCAGGAGGACCACCAGCTGCATATGGAGACCATATATACCCAGGCCAGCCAAGCGCACATAGGGAGACCCTACTTCAAAATAACACACAAAAGGAAAAAAGAGAAACCAAGGTACAGCTGGGTATGGGAAGGGTAAAAACCATGCAAGCTGTTCAGGAAAGGGAGGGGAAGGGCCAAGGGTGGGCACTAGGGAATCACCCAGATTCTAAACTGAGGAGGGTCAGAGGCCAAACAATTCCAATCCGAGAAAGCACAAGTGGCTGGGTCAGCAGAGCCCTGGGCCAGCCTGGGAAGGAGATGGGGCAATCGGCCATTAAAGGACTCTCAGTCAGCCAGGAGTGGACAGGCGGAGCTGGTGCGACAGGCTGTGAGCATCACAGGACACCCAGAGTGTCTGTGTGAGTGCTGCTGGGCCTAGGTGAAGACCTTGGAGTGGACTGTCTCCCACTGAGCCAGGATACCTTAGGAACAATTCTGACTCTTGCAATGTCTAGCAATGTTGCCCGCCAGCTGATTAGGCCCAGACCTCAGACGAAGGGGGACCAACTGCCTCATTGTGCCTCAGGCGCTTTCCCAGGACAAGGCTTTCAGTTCTCTGTTTTAGTGCTGGGCAAACTGGGGGGCTGGTCCCCTGCTGTCTCTGGTGGAGCTGCAAGGCTCAGTCCCACCCCTTGTCATCCCACTTACCCCAGAGCCAGAAGGGCTCAGGGACCTTAGATCCCATCAGAAAAATGTGTTTCAACTGTGACAGAAGCTTCCTGGACACATTTCAAAATCTAGGTCCAATTCAAGCAGGTTGTAATGATGCCACTCTTCCTAGATGAGTCTTTGCGCGCGTGCGTGCGTGCGTGCGTGCGTGTGTGTGTGTGTGTGTGTGTGTGTGTGTGTGTGTGTGTGTGTGTTTATTTTTTGAAACAGGGTTTCTCTGTATTGCTTTGGAACCTGTCCCGGAACTAGCTCTGTAGACCAGGCTGGCCTTGAACTCACAAAGATCCACCTGCCTTTGCCTTCCAAGTGATCAAAGGTGTGCACCACTACTGCCTGGCCAGATTCCTGTCCTTAGATTCCTGTCATTCAGCTGGCAGTGGTGGCGAACACCTTTAATCCCAGCACTCAGGAGGCAGAGGCAGTCAGATCTGTGTTTGAGTTTGAGGTCGGCCTGATCTACTGAGTGAGTTCGAGGACAGTCAGAAAAGAAAAAAGAAAGAAAGAAAATAAAAAGATTTTTTTCATGCAGTTGGCTGCCAAGCAGCATTGTGTAGAAACAGCATTTAACTGTATGAACCCACAATGTCCTCCCTGGGAGATACAAAAAACCTTTCAAATGTCCCAGTGCAGCAAGCAGCGCTCCCAGGAGGCTCCCGTTCCTCACTCATCCTTCCATCCATCCATCCCATTCTTTAGCTACCACCATATGAGGTTCCCGCATGGTAATAAGGTAAACCAAACACCCACATCCTCATCTCCCTTGCCCTAACACCTCAGCGAAGAACAATTCCATCATGACCACCATGTAGCCCCCGTGGGAATGTCATAGAAGGTCTGGCCCAGGATTCAGGACATCAAAGTGGAAATAACAGGACGGAGAGGATGTATCCCTGCTGCCATCTCTAAACACAAAGCCTGCAGTATGGGAAGAGGGTACCTATTCCTTTCCTCTCCCTTCAACCCTTGGCACTGATACTCCTTGCTTGGAGTCTGCATTGATACATCTGGGAACACACTCTGCAGATGTGAAGATCTGTGGGGATAACAGTGGACAGTACTAGACACAGATTCCAGCTCTCTGTAAACACGGGATTACTGTTGCTACTGGCCAAGCAGCTCAGAAGCCAGGGGATTCCAGGCAGCCAGACACAGAAGTCTATCTGGCTGGGCTGTACAATAATCCTGCTTCAGGATTAGCCTGCCTAAAGGGGCTGTGAACCCAGTGGCCGGTGAGCAGCTCAGGTCATACACTGAGGAGCTGCATGGGGAGGCTAGACCAGTGCGAGGAAGGAAGCTAGCTTCTAGAGGAAGACCATGGGTGTGGCCGCCACCCCCCTGTGCTCCACCCCTTTCCTGGGCCAAGGAAAGGATGAAGGACAGGCAAAGCTGAGGGGCATCCTCTCCAGAGTCAGCAAAAATAATATCTGGGGATGGATGTGTCTGGGCTCTGACATTTACAGGTCACTAGATCTCACCAGGCCAGCTAGGCAGTTAAAAGCCTGTATGTATACTGCCTTCTTAGGGCAAGGAGCCAGCCATGACCGGAAACCCTGGAGGTGTGCAAACATCCGAGTCACTTCTCAGCAGGAAGGAGCTGGGGCGGGGCCAGTTGAGATGCATGTCCCGGCCCTGGCCACAGCTCTCTCCTCTGGGAAGAGTAAGAGGGATAGCTACTCAGAGGCCTGGGAGGGCAGGTTCTTTCTGGACACCCAGTGTTCCCCTCCTCCATGCTTTCACATCTCTAGACAGACAACAGCATCTAAGACTTGTCCTGACTGCCTAGGCTAAACTAGCCCATGCCCCATGATGCATGGCCCCTCACCCATTCCCCTGTCCAGGCCTATGCCTCTCTGCTCATATACCACCTCCCTCACAGCAACCCCTCCCCCCCATCCCGAGCCTCTTCCCTAATACTTTTATTTGTTAGCTTCCTTTCTCGTACCCTGGAATGTCACCTCGGCCTCCATGAGGGCAGAGATTATTGTCAGTTTCCTGATGTCACCAGCAACTGGAACGGCTCATGGCACACAGCAGGGGTTCAATAATTATTTCATGATTGAATGAATAAAGAGTTCACAAACATTCAGTCGAGTGAGGGGAGCATGCCTATAATCCCAGCACTTAGCAGGTAAAGGCAGACAGGATGGAAATGAAGGCCATCCTCAGCTACACAATGGGCCAGCCTAGACTATATGATACTTTGTCTGGGGGAAAAAAAAAAAGAGTATATACACATCTAAGAGCAGGGGCTCAGGCCAACTGCTACCCGGAAGTACATCACAGTTCTTGCACTTACTGTGTGATCTTTTTTGCTTGTTTGCATTTGTTTTGTTTTCTTCAATCTCACTATGTAGCTCTGGCTGTCCTGGTCACTCTGTAGACCAAGCTGTCACGGAATTTACAGAGATCCACCTGCCTCTGTCTCCCAAGTGCTGGGATCAAAGGTGTGCTCCACCACTGCCTGGCTTCGGCTATGTGATCTTGAACTATGTACTTAAACTCTCTCTATCTCATTTAAATGAACGATGAGGAAAAGAGTAATAGGACTGACCTCATAGGCTAATGGCCCATCAGTAGGCAAGCATTACAAGGACAGCTTAAAGTGCCGCCTGGCACCCTAGCTGCCAGCATTTCTTTCTTACTTATTTGCCTGCCTGCTCATCATCTGCCTCCCTCTACTACAGTGTCAGCTCTAGCCTGCCTTGCTCACTGCTATACCCTTAATTCCCAGCAAAGTGCAACACAAGAAACCCCGGCCTTCTCTCACAGCTGGGAACATGGAGCTGAGGGGCTATTGTGGGCAGGGAGTAAGAGGCTCACCGATCTGCTTCTCCAGGGCAGCTGCTTCACAGGTGGTAGCCCGGGGTAGGATGCCAGGGTCAGTAAAACTGGTCTGCAGGAGGCAGCTCATGACGAAGAAGAAGAGGATGGCAGCAATGATGGGGATGGCCAGGGTCAGTTTGCTGGCCAGGTAGGGACAGCTAGGAGAGAAGAGAGTTCAGATTACCCCAGAGTTCTCTGGGATAGATACCATATTCTTGAAAAGAGCCTCTCCCTGAAGTGCAACTACTCCCCATAAGTGCCCAGAGCAGACATTTCTCGTTAATCTTGGACTGTTTCCAATGTCAGATGAGATCAACAGATATTCCCCCTCACCCAACGCTGGCGGGCAGGTCCCTCTTCTGTTCCTTCCTTCCAACAGGAACTTGCCAGATAGCCTGAAACGTACTACCCTGTCCTTGAACTCTTGATTTTCCTGCTCCATCACCTCCTGAACACACATACACCACCATACCTAGCCTCCTTTTTGTGGCAGTACACACCAGGAGGCGGAGGCAGGAGGATCTCTGTGAGTTCGAGGCCAGCCTGGTCTACAGAGCAAGTTCCAGGACAGCCAGGGTACACACAGTGAAACCCTGTCTCAAAAGCAAAACACTCGCATCACATTGGCCTCATGGCAATTTCTGCATGACTGTGACTCTTTCCCACCTCAGAGCCTTTGCACTCACTGCTCATTTCCTCTGGAATGTTCATCCCTCCTCACAGGACCTTCCTTGACAGCACAGATAAATCAGTCCTTCCCCAAGGCTATTTTCTGTATAATATTTATTAAAAGTGTTAGCTGTGGGGGTTAGATATAACCCAGTGGTTATAAATACTACTCCTCCAGAGAACCTGGGTTCAGCTCCCAGCAGCCACATGATGGCTCACAACCATCCCAATGTCCTCTTCTGAACACCACACATGGTGCGCATATATATGTGTGTGTGTGTGTGTGTGTGTGTGTGTGTGTGTGTGTGTGTGTATGTACACACACACATATATATGAAGGTAAACACTCAAAGACATAAAATAAATGAACCTAAAATATAGAAGTTAAGCTGGGCAGTGGTGGCATACACCTTTAATTCCAGTACTTGGGAGGCAGAGGTAGGTGGATCTCTGTGTGTTCAAGGCCAGCCTGGTCTACAGAGTGAGTTCCAGGGCAGCCAGGCTACACAGACAAACCCTGTCTTAAAAAAATAAATAAATAGAAACAAAAATTAATTAATTTAGGGTAGGACAGCTCATTCCTTTAATCCCAGCATTCTGGAGGCAGAAGCAGAGAACTCTCTGTGAGTTTGAGCCCAACTTGGTCTAGACATTGAGTTTTAAGCTAGCCAAGACCACAGAGTAAGATCCTGCCTAAAAAAATTTAACTGCTTGTGTGAACATGTTACCTGCCTGCTAAGTGACAAGTTTCTCTGTGGGCACAGACAGAACCCTTGCATGTTACCCAGAAAATACCTACCAAATGAGTGGTGTATCCCTCAAGGAGAGAAAGCAGCTACCACATATTCTTTTCCAGTACTACAGATCAAATGCAATGCCTTGCACATGCTAGGAAAGCACTTTATCATTCTGTCGTCTGCAGACCTAACACCCGATGTCTTTTGAAGATTTACTATGTGCTAGATACTGCCCTCGCCGATAAATCATTATAAATAATACCAACAGGCTGGGGACACAGATCAGTGGTAAAATGCTCTCTACCATGCTCAAAGCTCTGAGTTCAAGTAGGGCAGTGGTGGGAGGAAGAAGCAGGTGGGTCTCTGTGAATTCAAGGCCAGGATTACACAGTGAGACCCTGTTTCGAAATTAACTAGTTAATTAAATGCCTAGCACACACAAGTTACTATGTGCTGGATAAGTTGCTAGGCACTCTACATGCACTTCTCAAGTCTTCACGGTGACCCTCTAACCTTATGCCCAAACTTCACAGATGAGAAAGTTCAGGAAAAGTAAACAACCCTGGGCAACCCAGGACTGTATAGCTCAAGCTGACCAACTTCAGTCAGCCACTGCCTCCCACTGAAGCCAGAGGGGATGTGATGGGGGAGGGGTTGCTGCTTGAAGGATGCATCTGTTGGGAGGCTTGGAGCCAGCTGAGGCTCCAAGGAGCCACAACTGCAGGGAGCAAGACCAGGACATCTGAACTCTGCTTTTGAAGTCTGCAGCTGCCTTCCCCTAAGGACCAGTACCTGACAAAGCCAAGGGCTCCAAGTGGACTACCTTCTACTCCACACATCTCTTCATGTCCAGCTCTTTAAAAGAACCAGCCACTCTCAGTTCCAATGCTGGACAGCTCACCTACTTCACACACAAGCTCAGCCTGGGGAAGGAAGCCTGGGACTTGTAGAGCCCCTGGGAAACACCACACCAAGTTGTAGGCTGATTTCCACAGCTAGATTCAAGGTCACCCAGCCAGGATGCCAATTACAAGCTGGCATCCAGACTCCCAGCAAGTGATCCATCCATCCATCCATCCATCCATCCATCCATCCTTTCCTGGGCTGAGCACAGACAGCTCCCTTGCACTGGCTCTAGGCACTAAATAGACTGCAGCATGAGTATTTACTATGCTCTGGCAGAAAAGACGCACAGAATGATCGACCGCGTGTGTGTGTGTGGGGGGGGGGGTAGGAGGGGAAAGAGTGATGAAAAGGAAAGAATAAGCCGCAAGGATGCTCCAAACAGTGCAAAGGTTCTGAGGCAGGAGTGAGCCAAAGGTCAATGAGCTCGAGAGGGTAACTCAGCAGAAGAGGACAGAGCAGGAGGACTAAGAGGGACCAGAGGCCACAGAAGGCCATTATCAGAGCTCTGGCTCTCACCTAGAGGGAGAGAACCAGGGAGCCTGAAATCTGATGTCAGGGGTTGTGGCTGCTGTGTGAGATGGGAGTAGGAGCTGGGAGCCACACTCGGGAGCTGTGTCACTACCCGCCAAATAGGGAGGCAAGACAACCTGCAGCAGGAAAGGCCTCCCCCAGGAGTCACCTGTACCTTCCCCAGAGCAGCAGGGAGTGAGCGTCTCCTACCCCGTCCTGACCGACAGTGTGTCCACTGTTCTGGGCCCTCTTCGGAGTCCTCCAAGCCCCCAACACCCAACATCCAGCAGGACCATGGGTTGAGACCCAACCCTGCTCCCAAAGTCACCATCCAAGGGTAAGAACAAGAAGAGTAGAAGGCCAAGGTGACTGACTAGTCCATTCTCTCCCTTCTTCTCTGACTGAGGGCGACTCAGGATCACCATGACCCCATCCAGAAAAAGTTCAGGCTCTGAAGTGTCCAAATCTTGCCCTGAAGAGTCATAGGGCAATGGACAGCCAGCACTACTTCCTCCTGCCTGGGCATAACTCTGGGCGTGAGCACCACGGGGGAGAGCTGCTGAGGGCCCTGGAAAAAGTACCCCAAGCATGGGGGGGAAACTTGACCTGAGGGCCAGCTGGGGTCCCAGAGCTTCTCTGTGTAAACCTTTCTCCATCCTGACCCAGCATGGAAGGGCAGAGCACTTTGGGGGACTGTGAAAAGAAGTTTTCACCTTGTGGCTGCAGGCACATAACTCAGTGTCTGGAAAGTGACCTGAACACTGGTCTTTCCAAAAGGTTTATCATGACCACATGCCCCAGGAATGATTTTTGGTGAACAGAGTAGTAACAACCATGAACATCAAGTTCTAGAAGCTTTCGTGCAAAAGAATAAACGAATGACAAACAAATTTGAAAAAAAGCTAAAAGCTTGCATGCTTGACTGGGTACCCATCTCAATAGAACCTTCAGAGGTGGGTACTATTAAAGTCCCCATTCTAGAGAGGAGGAAACTGGGGGTTGGAAAGGTGAAGTGACTGCTCCCCCCCCCCCCAGGCCACAGAATTAGTTGGAAGTAGAGCTGGGATTTGGGCTAGGTTCCCTGGCCCCAGAGATGGAGGTCTTTGTTTTGTTTTGGTTTTTTGTTTGTTTGTTTTTCCACACAGGGTTTCTCTGTGTTGCTTTGTAGACCAGGCTGGACTGGAAGGCAGAGATCTGCCTGCCTCTGCCTCCCAAGTGCTGGGATTAAAGCTGTGCGCTGGCTGCCACCACCACCGGGGAGATGGAGGTCTTAACTAGTGAATAATAAAGAAAGCCAACCTCAAAGAACAAGAAGTAGGAGAGAAAGGCAGGACTCGCCCAGTGTGGGGTGTGTGTGTGTGTGTGTGTGTGTGTGTATGTGTGTGTGTGTGTGTGTGTGTGTGTGTGCAAGAAGTCACATGGCTGGTGGCTCCAGCTAGAGGCTGAGGGTGGGGTGGAACTTTGGATGCATGAGTGGCCCTCCTCCATCTTTCAGCTCTAAGATGGGAGATGCCAACCCTGGGTCACTGGGAAAAGGTCGAAGCCCATAAGGACAATTAAGAGCTGTCATGTGAAAGTGCTAAGGCTCCTTTCAGGAAAAGGGGTGGCGCAGCTGCCCTGGTGGGGGATGAGACTGAGGGATGCTCCAGGGTGCCCTGAGGGGAAAGGGAGCCAGGTCAGGGTTGGAGAGGCACCTGGGATTCTAGGTAGTTAAGGGAGGGTCAGGAAGAAGCTTTGGTGAAACTAAGGAAAGCGCTGGAGAGGGAAGGACCAGTCTGAGAGGCCCAAAGATGCTTTAGAGAGGATGCCTTGGGGCCTAGGGCGAGCATGACTGAGGGAAAGCGGGGGGGTGGGGGGGGGGGTGGGGTGGTGGGGGGTGGGGTGTGTGTTCCGAGGGAGCCAGGACCCTGCAGAATCTTGGAGAAACCTGAGGAGACGCCTAGGAAGATTCATGGTGTTCCCAGCCAAGGGACACAAAAACTTAGTTGTCTGAGGATTGGAATAAAAGACGCCTAGGGGGTCAGAAAGAGCCCGGGATAGGCAAGAACCGGCCAAGGATAGGGAGGCAGGAGGACCTGAGGGACCCGGCAAAGGCCGGTGACCGGGGCCGGACACCCAAAGTCCGGATGGCGAGGAGGGGTGCGGGGGTCCAGGGCGAGCGGAGGCCCGAGTAGACGGATGCGTGTCGGGAAGGAGCGGCGGCCGGGGGACACAGCGCGCGGGGGGAAGGGATGGGGGCGAACTCACTCGGAGACGAAGAAGAGGACGGTGGTGCTGAGGATGAGCAGCAGCGTGAGCGCGAAGACGCCGCCGTGGCCGGCCAGCATGAGGCGGCCGCCGCAGTAGAAGCGGTTGCGGCCGGGGAACACCTCCCACTTACGCCGAGGCCGGCGGCCCAGGCTCCCGCTGCCGCTGCCGCTGCCGCTGCCGCTCCAGCGCGGTGCTCCGGGCGCGGGCCCGGGGCTCGGAGCGGGGGGCGCGGCGGGCCCGGGGCGGCGCGGCCCGGGGGAGGCGGGCGGCGGGGCGGCCCCGGGGCTGATCTGCTGGTACTCGCAGTCCTTCATGCGGCCGGCCGCGGGCCTCGGCTCCGCGCCCCGCGGGCCGGCCGCGCCGCTCCGGGACCGGGCCGAGCAGCGGAGGTAGCGGCGGCGCGCGCGGCGCTGGCGGGCGGGCTCGTTCGCTCGGGTTGGCCTCCCCGCTGCCGCCCCGCCCCGCCCCCGGTTCGCTCCGCAGCGCCCCCTGCGACCAGCCGGGGAACTGCAGGTGCGGCCGCCCCGTCTCCCTCCAAGGCATTTGCACCCAGACCCTCTCTGTTAGGAGTGCCTGTGCCAGGCACAGGGCAGAGCCCATAGATTCAGGGGACCGCCCAGGGGATAACTCCTAGGGCAGGCTCGCCCACCTCTGAGGGCAGGTCGGGAAGGGTAGTACACAATTTGCTTTGAAAATTCTGTGTATCTAGGGCGCGCGGTGGTGGTGCACACCTTTAATGCCAGCACTCTGGAGGCAGAAGCAGGTGGATCTCTGTGATTTAGAGACCAGCCTGCTCTACAGAGTGAGTTCCAGGACAGGCCTGAAAGCTGCACAGAGAAATCCTGTCTCGAAAAACTAACCAACCAAACAAACAAAAAAAAAAAAGAAAAAGAAAAAAAAAAAGAAAAGAAAATTCCTAGTGTCTAAAGAGGTATATGTATCCTCTGGTCTTCCCCTCCTAGCTGTCCTAGGCCTAGACCCAGGTCCAACCCTGGGTTACTAGATATCCCCTAAACAGTTATCAATCCTTTGTAATGCTAGCATCCAGAAGCCTGAAACCATGAAGGTTAAAGGCCAGTTTAGGATACAAGGTGAATTTGCACCCTGCCTGGGCCTACAAATGAGACCCTGACTCAATCATGAACACATGCAAAATCACAAACACTTTATCTCACATGCCTAAGGTCAAGAGTCCAGAAATATTTTGGCAAATTCTTTAACATGTGGTCTCCCAAGACTAGTAGGGCTAGATCAGACTATCTGAATTCTCATCTGGAGAGTCAAATAGGGACCAGCCTCCTTGTAAACCATTCAGATTGTTGGCAGAATTTATTTCTTGTGGTGTGACTGGAGGCCTGGAAGTTTTGCTGAAATCCCACCCAAACTTACCAGAGACTCACCATGGAGGTTTCTCCAAAGGAGCCATGAACTATTTGAACCTGACAAGGACAGGTTAACTTCCATTTCCTACAACAGAGCTTGATTTGGTGTTGCATTACTTGGGTATCCAGCCCAGAGCCTCACTCCATCACTGGGCTGCCTCACCAGCCCTAAGACAGAGAGAGCATTTGTGTTTGTGTGGATGAATGTGTACATGGAGAGGCAGGATGCACAGCCCATGCACGCACAGAGGCCTGAGAAGGTGTCAGACCCGCAGAACTAAGGTTCGGGAGTGTATGCTGGATGCCTAAATCTCTACAGGGTGCCAGCATCCGAACTCTGGCACTCATGATTATTCAGGAAGGATTTTCAACTCCTGGGCCAACTCTCCAAGTGCCCAAGCCAGAGCATGTATCACTTTCTATATGTGTAGCAGAAATACCATGTGGTCACCTTTGCTGTCGTCTACGACTGGAAGCAAGTCACAGGTGTAACTTGCAATCAAGAGGAGGGGAATCCTACAAATGTGTGAGTATCAGAAGGCAGGACCATCGGTGGTCATCACAGGGTCTGTCCATCAAGTCATAGTTACTGCAAAACCCAAGGAAAGGAGGCCAGGGCACTAAGACTAGAGAGACTAAGGAAGACAGAATACACAATGGAGTGGGTCATGGTGGATGGTGCTGAGAATCTCTTCACTTGGGATGCTGAGGTAGGAAGGATACAAGTATGTAGACAGCTGGGGCTACGTAGCAAGACCCTATCTACAAAACAACAACCAACAAAAGGGTACAATAGAAAGCTTCGGTAGGAAGCCAAGCATGGCCTTGAGAAGCACTAACTGGCCAGGTTTGGTGGTACATTCCTGTAATATGGGACTTGAGAAGTGGAGCAGGAGGGCTGGGAGCTCCAGCTCCACCACAGGTTTGATGGAAGCATGGGCTGCATGAAACCTTGTCCTCAAACAACAAAAACAAACAGAATCACTAACTGGAGCCAGACATGCTATCATGCCAACATCAGGAGGCAGAGGCAGACAGATTTCTGTGTGTATGATGTCAGCCTGGTCTACATAGCAAGTCCCTCACCAGGGCAAACAGGGCTGGATAATGGGACCTATCTTATCCTGCCACCAACACCACCAAGGAAACATAGTGGCACATGTTTATCGTCCTGTTACTTTGGAGGCTGAAGCAAGAGGATCAGGAGTTTAAGGCCATTCTTGGCTACACATCAAATTTGAGGCCAGCCTGGACTTCAGTATAACAATAAAATAAATAAACACCCAAAAGAACCGCTAAGAGTCCCATGTGCCAGAGGCTGTTGAGCCATGCTCTTCATGTTGGAAGCTCTGGGTCTGGTAGGCCTCACCTTGAGTGAACCACACTGTGTGTTTCCGCTCCCCCTGCAGCCCTGCTGTGAGATGGTCTCCAAACTGGACATGCTGGTCCCACTGTAAGTGGGTCCTCTTTAACACTCGGTTTCCCTCTTGTCTATAATGTAACACCTATTTGCAGACGGCCTTCTTCTTATCTTTTAAAAAATGAATTTATTCCTAATTATGTGCATATTCCTGTGTCTTCATGTGGGCCATCTGAATGCAAGTGCCCACTGAGGCCAGAGGCTTTCAATCTTCTGGGAGCTGGAGTTACAGGCAGTTGTAAACTGGCCAGTGTAGGTGCTGGAAACTGAACTCAGGCCCTCTGGAAGAACAGTAAGTGTTCTTAACCACTGAACCACCTCTCCATTCTGCTCACCTAAAAAGATGTGGGGCTGGAAATGTAGTTTATTAGTAGAACACAGCAACACAGCATTCATGAGACACCACACACACACACACACACACACACACAAAAGAAAAGAGGAGAGAGATGAGTCTCTTGTCCATGTCTACTCCCCAACTTTCTCCTCCTGTCCTATCTGAATTTCTTTTCATTGAGGTTGCAATTACATGCTCAAATTAAAAATTAAATAGTTGCCCCACCCAATTGGAAATGAGTCATCCACAGCCTCTGCTTTAGTGGCATAAATTCTCTTGTGTACACAAGCAATAAAATCACTTTGAATAAAAAAAAATTAAATAGTTGGGTGGTGGTGGCCCATGTTTTTAATCCTAGCACTCAGGAGGCAGAAGTAGGCGGATCTCTGTGAATTCAAGACAGGCCAGTTGAATGTAGGAATAGTCTGCAGTCCCAGATTTTTGGAAGGCTGAGGCAGGAGAAACACTTAACTGCATGGGTTAAATACTAGCCTGGTTAACATAGCCAGAACAAAACAAAGACATAGAAGCCAAAAGCTATAACCCAGCTTTCTATAGCTACCTTTCACTCTGCACAGCCTGACCTGAAAGGAAGGGCGGGCTTTCTTTGTAGATGCAAGTAACTACTCAATGCTAGAGCATGCATGAGTCCTCTCTGAACACTGCAAAATAGTGAAATCAAATGCTAAACTAAGATAGAGTAGTTGTAAAAAGCATACACACAAGCTGGACAGTGGTGGCCCATGCCTTTAAGCCCAGCACTCGAGAGGGCAGAGGCAGGCAGATCTCTGTGACTTTGAGGCTAGCCTGGTCTACAGAGTGAGTTCCAGAACAGCCAGGGCTACACAGAGAAACTCTGTCTCAAAAAACCAAAAGAGAAGGCTGGAAAGTTGGCTCAGTGGTTAAGAATACTGACTGCTCTTCCCCACATGGCAGCTCAGAAGTGTCTGTAACTCCAAGATCTGATGTCTTCACACAGACATACTTGTATGCAAATTAAATAAATTATTTAAAAAAACCCCACATATCCATATACCCAAAACAACAGGAGCAGGGGTATTCACGCTATGCTTAACATAGATAAGGCCCTAGGTTCAATTCCCAATGCTAAAACAACACAACCTAACAAAACAAACAAGAGAAGGTTTAGAATGGTTAAAAGCATTGGCTGCTTTTCCAGAGACCCCATGTTTCATTCCCAGCACCCACATAGTGGCTCACAACTATCTCTAACTCCAGTTCCAGGGAATTCAATGCCTTCTTCTGGCCTCCACAAGCCTTTAATCCTAGCACTGGGAAGATAGAGGCAGGAGGATCTCTGAATTGAAGGACATCCTGGTCTACAGAGACCTTGTCTCAAAAAAAAGTTAACTTTGAACAAAAATTTGCATACTATGAAGAGGAAATATGCATTATTTATATGTTCACAATTACAGTTGTTTTGTCGTTCTAATATTTATAAATGGTAATTTCATACACAATAACAAATGAAGGAAATACAAGTTGCTTAAAGAGCACTCTTCCAACTGGTCACAAAGCCACAGTTGCCATTTGTAGCTTTTCCCACTGTTCATCCCATATTCCCTTTGCTCTCTGGCAGGGTCTCAGCTCTTCATAATCCCTGGTAACCCAAATCTCTTTTCTGAGGGCTTTGACTGTTCAAGGGGAGTGTGCCACTGTCCTTCAGTAGCGCCTCTGAGTGGAGATCTCATGCGGTGGCAGCATGCTGAGCAGTACCATCTGTAACCAGGCTGTAGCCAGCAGGAACTCCTCAGGGGAAGGGAGCGCAGCGGAAACCAAGGGCAAAGGAAAATTACCTGCCCATCAGCTTGTTCATGCCTTCACCTTCCACATACCTTGTTTCTTTACATCTTACCCCTTAGCGTTCAGTTCCTTATTTCCTGTGTACACATGCAGCAGTGTGTCTGTAGAGGTCAGAGGACGGCTCATGGGAGCCGTGTCCATGCCAAGGATCAGCTCGGCTCACCAGCTATGGTGGCAAGCACTGAGGCCACTGAGCCATTTCACGGAGCTCTGATCAGGTCACAGGACTGTTTAATATTCTGTGGTTAGGCTTTCAGTCCCTACCAAAGTACAGAAGTAAGGAAGAAGAGAGAAGTCGTCTCCATCCAGGAAAGGGTATGGACTTGTTCTAAAAGGTGTACTTTGAGCCCTGTAGCTCACAATGGTCGAAACTCCAATCTCTCTTCTGCC